ATGTGGGAGACGACTGGCGTGCCTAGAGCCATACGGCTTCTTGGGGCGCCCACGTTGGTCTCACATGCCAAGACATACCCGTTGGCCAATCCAGCACGTCGTATTCCAAAAGTATGACGCGGTGAGTTGGCCCACATCAAAAGTATCATATGGACAATGGGGCGGGGTCCTGATCACTCAGGACCTGTCCGATCGTTCAACTTTTCAATTACCCTAAAAGGCAACCGATCTTAGATAGCGTAGCTACTATGCAGTTGTACAGGACTTTACTAAGCAGCGTCGTAGACAGTATAAGTAGCACGTCGTCTCTTTGTATTAGGAAGCTTTCCCCGGACTGTGAATCACTCTCATATCAGATTGTTTTGTACAATTTGCGTGCCGCGTGATTCCACCCTAAGAAGTTCTGCTACCCCTGCCCGGTCGCGACGAGTTGCTCCCTGAGCACTTGTAGCTACTGTGATTTGAGTTTGAGTTGAGATATCAGAAAGTCGGATTCGCCGCATCTGGTATTGTCGCGGCATTTAGTGTCATCGCCTTAGGGCTTTGTTGAGATCGTTCCACACCTCTAGCTTGGCAGTGCGTCGACTAGTTGTGCTCGGGTTGTTTTGGTCAGTTGGCAGTGCGTCGACTTGAGAACTTTGGTTCCACACTTCTTGCTTGGCAGTGCGTCGACAAGTTGTGCTCGGGTTTTGGACATTGGATATTGGCTGTTAGTTGGCAGTGCGTCGACGCGGCATTTTGGTTTACTAGTTGGCAGTGCGTCGACTCAGTACTTTTGGTTGTATCGGTTGGCAGTGCGTCGACTTGATATTTGGGCTTTGCGTCACCATCTGGACGCTGTCGCTACAAGGGATCTTAATACCTCGTATTAAGCTCTGACTTGTTATATTGTTGGTTGTGGATTGGATTAGTGTTGGTTGTGTTTGTATAGAAGATATTGGTTGAGATACCACTATTTGCTATATATATATATTTGTCGTCGACTCCGTCTCCGCGACTATTGGATCTGCGTCTATTGAGAGTTGTGATACTGGTGCTCTGTCCACCCCGAAGCCCTCGCATCTTTCACACACTGAGAAGCTGATTACGAGGAGTGTGAACGTGTTTTATATTTGGGTTTACTTTCATAGTAGATTCACTTGTGAGCACGCCCTCAGCATTTCATTGTATCTTGCGTTGATTCGGATCCCACACTTTCCAAGCTTTTGTCTCTCGTTCGTATCCAACGAAGATGTGGTCGGGGCGTCCATGCTCCAACCCTTTCGGGCGTTTTTCAACATCCACATAGAGAGACGCCTTGCATCCAAACACACGGAAGTAAGAGACGTCTGGCTTCTTTCCAAGCCACAGTTCCGCAGGTGTTCGCCATCCCAATCGTGCCATAGGTTGTCTATTATGAACGTGGACAGATGCATCCATAGCACATTGCCAGAAGCCTTTGGATAGGCCGGCATCAAGGCGCATGCATTCCGCTTTCTCGTAGGCTGTGCGATTCCAACGTTCAGACCTCCCATTTTGCTGTGGTTCGCGTGGCGCGGACTTAGGGTGCATAATACCACGTGCATTGAGCCAGGCTGTGAGTTCATCGGACATATATTCACCTCCACGATCTGACCGGAAGGCCAGTACTTTTGTGCCGAGCTGACGCTCTACAAGGGCAACAAAGTTTTTAATCGCGGTAGAGGCTTGGTCCTTTGATTTAATGAACACCATCATGCCGAAGCTCGAGAAATCGTCGTAGAACGAAATTGTGTAGCGTGAACCTTCCAACGACTGAGTAGGCCAGGGGCCCATCAAATCAGTGTGGATAAGCTCGAGGGGTTTGCTAGCACGTTTCTCTGATGCAGGGTACGGATGCTTGTGCTGTTTTCCAAGCATACATCCATCGCACATGCCGCGCTGGTCTTTATTGCGTCGCAAGGGGGGAACACCTTCAACTTGTGTCGGCAAGTGAGAAAGGGTCCTCCGAGCCGCATGACCAAAACGCTTATGCCACAATTCACGATCGGTAGTTTCCAGGGAAGCGAGCGCGGTAGACTCGTGAGATGCAGACACAGATGGTGCCACGAGTTCCTCAGGGTAGTACCAGTAGCAGCGATTGCTTGCTTTAAAGGTCATCAAGACATCCCCATGCGCTTTTCCCTTGTTGAGCCAATCCTTGGTGACTAGGATTGCCTTGTTGTCACCAACCACGGTGTAGTAACCAGCCTGATCAAGCGCATACCCAGAAAGGTAACGCCCTCTTATGTGCGGGTTGTAGATGACATCCTTCAGAGTGAAGGTGTAGTCCATGCCACTACTAGTATGACCCCGCAACACAATATCTCCAACGGCTTCATTCTTGAAGCGAGCTCCCGACCCAACGATTACATAGGTGTCGATAGGTCTGATGTTGTGAAGATCGGATCGGGTGTTTGTCATATGATGCGTACAACCCGAGTCCCATAGAAAACGAACTTTGGAGTCGTCTCCCATTTCTTCAACAAAAATTCCATCATCGATGTGTTTGAGGGAGTCACTCATGAGATAGGACGAAATGTGCATTCCATTGGAGGCAGCTGCAACCGCGGGAGCGGCTACAACTTCTTTTACAGCGCTAGTACCATCACCACTCTTCTTTTCCTTCTTCTTTTTCTTCTTCCCCTCATCCTGCTTCCCCTTGCCTTTGTCAGATGATTGACCATTAGGCTTGAGGTTGGGATACTTCTTGTAGCAGGATGCCGCAACGTGACTGGACTTGTTGCAATGAGTGCAGCGGGTGGCAAGGGACGGAACAGTGGAAATCTTCGAGTTCGACGTCGTGTCGAGGTTCTCGATTTTGATATTCCCTATGACGCTGTTCTTGACATCGACCGGGTTCAAGGAAGCGATAGGACGATTGGCCAGGTAAGAGGTGACGAAACCTCTGCTGGAAGCGGGCAAGGCGGCGAGCATGAGAGTAGCGAAGAGGTAGTCGGGGATCTCGATTCCTCCTTCTGAACACTGGCGACGACGAGTCTCCATTTCCATGATCTGTTTTTCAATGGTATCACCACCGTGAAAGGTGGTGGTGTTCAGGAGGCGGTACTCGACGAAAGCATCGATGGCATTTGGCTGGCCATAATCCGTCGCCATTTTCGCAAAAACCTCGCGCGCAGTGCGCTCCCGCTGACCATCCATAAAGATTCCCTTGCGCAGATTCTGGGTGATGTAAACCCGCGCAAGACCCAGTGCCTTTTCATTGGCAACGTCCCATTGATATTGGCTGTCGCCAGCCGTTCCAGGACGCTCCATAGAACCAGGGTTCGAGGTAGATGTGCCGTTAATTGTAATATGAGTGGGTTTAACCACTCCCCAAGTGCCCTGATGCATGCAGATGCTCATGTAGTTGTCCGACCACGTATTCCAATTGGTGCCGTCGAAGACACTCAGAATGGAGTTGTTGAGTTTCTCGATTCCCGACATGGTGGGGAGATACTCGATGACGTCGGCGGTTTGGTAGTGAAGAGAGGGGAATTCGATATAGGGAGGATCACCGAATAGGGATCGAAGCTCAGGAGTCCAATTGTCCTGATGGTGAAATAGATCTTCGTTGTCGTGTTCACCAAGCTCGTATAGGTCTTCCCAATCAGTGTCTTGAAGAGGAGTGTAAGAAGGTCCCTGAGCCCAACGGACAACAGGAAATAGGATAACCCCAACGGGAGGGTCGTTTGTTGATGACAGGGTGATAGAGACTAGAGCGACACAGTCAGCCCTAAGTTCTCTGCAGACCAAGAAACAAAATCCCAAGTGCCAAAAAAAACTCTGAAACGAGAACGACCAAGCGTCCCCATCCCATCCATGATGCCCATATACGCGCGGGGAATGATAACGAAATAAAGCGGTATAGTAAGTGCCCATATTTGTATCAAAGTAACGTAACTATATACGTCAGCGGCGGCAGTACCCGACAGTGATTACTGCCCTCGCAGTCCGTCACTGGCCAAGGGACACGTGCCCAAGGCCGTCCCAAGCACCGGGTTTGGCCGCCCATCTTCTCCCTTTTAAAGACATGCATACACGCAGAGCGTCATTGCATGAATCCTCGTAGTGTCACCAGCCCGCAGGGTCCCTTGTGAGGAATGCGAGTCAACCCCGAAGGATTGTTTTGCCTGGCGGAGGGATCGACCTCCAGCAGCTGTTGAGAGCTACCACACCACCTAGGCGCTTCGCGCAAGGTTCAGGAGTGGGATTGACCAAAGGACCAGTGCCTGGTGGGTATGTCCGCTGTACAATAAAAAGATGTAACGTAAAACGCGCGCGAGCAATCATGGACGGAATAGCTAACGGCGCGTCTGCCAACTGAATGACTCCCTGACGCCGCTCGCGTAACCCCTTGAGGGTGAGAGCACAAATGCGAGGACCGACATCCAGCAAGTGGGACGAGCGCACAAAGACGGCGCTCTAGAAGGGCTGAACGAGTGAAAGATACTCGCCTTAGTAAAGGGAGTAGTTCGATGTTTCTTGATCTGGGCTAGTGGTTCAGGCGGGGCCCATAACCTGTCGCAGACAATACCGCGCAGTGGAGATACGACCAGTAGCGATCACCTATAAGACAGAGTCTCAGCGAGTGTAGAGACACAGGAGCTATATCATTAGCTGTACCTATAAGACAGAGTCTATGGTACAAGTCATAAGTAAGGTCATTAGATCGTAAGGGAGAATGCATACCTCAGCGAGTGTAGAGACACAGGAGCTGAGGATATGGAGCGTATAGTACTAGGTTTATATACCAGTCTGGAGCAGATATCATGATGTCATAGTGGAGTAATGATATCATAGATGAGTAATGGATGACGCAATAATGAGGTCAGGTATGAGGTCATTGTGGAGCAAGCCAAAGTAATCTAAGAATACTACTTATGATGTCATGTCTACATACTGTGATAGTCGCTAATACAAACAAGCTTCAACAAAGGGCCAGAAGGCCTAGGTCGGAGAGAAGTGGCATCAGATGGAATTCGGTGCTTGCGGCGTTCCGACGCCGCTTCAGCCCAGTCTTGAACTTTTAAGCGTCCCCAACGATATCGATGTAGGCCGTTAAAGGACTGGTCCGACTGGACTAACGCTGTGCTTGACTGTATGAGACGGGATATGAACCGCGCATGGCGTGAACAATGCATACGATCCAGCGCCTTTCTTTTCCGAAGTTCAAGCTCGTTTATTCGGGCCGCCGGTGTCACAGAACCACGATTTCAGGGCCAAATGACCACCTATGGCTGACGAAGGCACGCGAATGCACCAAAGACACGCAACGCATCGGCAGGAACGTGGAATCCGCGAGGCTCAATCCAGGAGTACTTATAGGGAAATGGGCAGCAGCGGAAATACTCACCATGTCTCTCCTCGATCGCCCCCCTGCGCCTCCCACCAAACTCGGTGTATATCGGATTCTTTCGCCCAACGCGGGAGTCCATGTCTCTCCGCTGCAGCTTGGGGCGGGCAGCATCGGCGACCAGTGGCACAAGCTGGGGATGGGCGCGATGGACAAAACGGATAGCTTCAAGCTTCTCAACGCGTATTTCGACGCAGGCGGTAATTTCATTGACACTGCCAACGGATAGTAAGTGTGATATTCTAGTTCAAGTTCGGCATCGGCTAAGCACCGTTCGCAGTCAGGACGAGACATCTGAGATGTTCATCGGCGAGTGGATGGAGCAGCGGGGGATCCGGGACCAGATCGTCCTTTCGACCAAGGTGTGCTCCGCCGCATACAACATTTTCTTGAAATAAACTTCAGTAATCAGTTCACGATGAACTTCAAAGCCCGCCAGAATGTTCAGCACCAGGTCAACTACGCCGGGAACAACCGAAAGTCGATGACGCTCAGTGTCGAGGCTAGCCTCAAGAAACTCCGCACGTCGTACATCGACATCTTGTATGTCCACTTCTGGGACTGGGACACGAGCATCCGCGAGTTGATGGACGGGCTGCACAATCTCGTCGCGCTTGGAAAGGTTCTGTATCTCGGCATCTCGGACACCCCGGCATGGGTAGTCGCACAAGCCAACCAGTATGCGCTCGACCACGGAAAGTCGCCGTTTGCCATCTACCAGGGCTGCTGGAACGTCCTCGACCGGTCGTTGGAACGCGAGGTCATCCCCATGGTCCGTGCACATGGTCAGTGTGCTTTTTTGTGGCTGCTGTCCCGCGCGTTCTTCTGACGATGGTCCAGGGATGGCGCTAGCGCCTTGGAATGTTCTGGCGCAGGGAAAGTTCCGAACAGATGCCAAAGAGGAAGCCCGGCGTGTGTCCGGGGAGAAAGGACGCATGTTGTTCAGCGCTGACTGGGAAAGAAATGAGGACGAGAAGAAAATCTCACACGCACTGGAGAAAGTAGCTGGGGAGATCGGGGCTAAGAGTATCACCTCCGGTGAGACTTGTTCCTCTCTGAATTTACCCGATTTGATGCAGAGTGTGAGAGCAGTTGCGATCGCATACCTGATGCACAAGGTGCCGTACTGCTTCCCCATCATCGGAGGGAGGAAAGTCGAGCATCTCATGTCAAACATTGAGGCCCTCGAGGTCTTGCTCTCACCGGAACAAATCAGATTCTTGGAAGGTGTTTTGACGTTTGACCCTGGCTTCCCAGCAACACCTCAGTTACCACCGCCATCACCCGGTTGCACCCCCGCGGGGGTCCTCCTGGGTACCCTCAGACGTAGCTCTGAGGGTACCTAACAGGTACCCCCTGCGGGGCCCGCGGGGGGGATTTGGTCCATTTGGGGGCGGGGGCATATGCGGGGGTCAGCAGGGGGGGGGTCTGTACATGTCATGTGATTTATCATTGGGAGCGGGCAGGTGGGCGCGAAAAAAAAATGAATCACATGACACATCCAATGGGCGGGATGGCGGCTGATGGCGGGGTAAAAAAATCACGTGATGCACTGCATGAAAATTATCAAAAATGGCTAGCAGGGGTTGGCGGGGGTTGGCGGGGGCGCTACTGGCCCCCCGCACACCATGGCGGGCAGTGGGCGCATTATCACGTGACTTTTGGGGCACCTTTTGTGCACCATTCGGCATGATTTCGGAGGTGTTGCTTGATCCATTGCATGCTGTGGCAGACAATGGGCGCATAATCACGTGATTTTCCGCCCAAAAAAATGGAAGCCTTCCCCAAATCATCCTGGTATCATTTCTATCGGTAAATACACTAGTTAAGCATGAATTTGAGCTTAGAAAGCCCAAAATGCACCCTGCACAATGGGACTGGTGATGCACTTGATCCCATCATTTGGCGGGGTCTGCTGCGGGGGGTGCCACGGGGGGTGCTGCGGGGGGTGCTGCGGGGGGTGCCGCAGGGGGTGCCGCAGGGCCCGCTGTGGGGTCAACCACAGGAGCAGGGGTAGGGGTGCATTGCATCATATTTTGATCTATCTATTCTCGCTGTGGTCATAGCATGCAGCATAATTATCCTTCATTTTGCCAGGAGTTTGGAGGCTGTGTCTGGGGTTGGTCTGCAGCTACAGCCATGTGACTCCCTGATGCTTCGGCAGGGGCTGGGATATCAAAACTGTGCAAATTTACCTAAATCTTTTGGCTTGGCTTGGGGCACTGATATATATGACTTGGTTCATTTTAGCATGGTCTGCTCAAGCTGTCAGGTCAAACTAAAAATTTGAAAAATGTGCAACTTGATTTGTTAGGCAAATCTCCCAAGTACATGCTCCAGGGACAGCCAACATCATCAACAAGAAATGGCTAATGTTTCTTTTCTCTGTCTGTTTGATTCAGGTAGTCTGTCTGCACTCAAATTTTTCTCTCCATTTGCAGCATATTCCGTGGAGGTGTCATAATTGTTGATTTCCGGATTTCATACTTCTTGTCTACACACCATTTGGGCCCTTTACTGAATCCAATAATACTGTAGACTCTTACAATGGATTGAGCAGGACATTTGTCAATTAAATCCTTGTAAGGGTTGGGGGGGGGTCAACCGCAGGGGGTGCCGCGGGGGGTGCTGCAGGGGTGCACAAGCATATGCCAGCCTACCAAATGTGGATCAACTACAAAATCACTTTCCAAAGCTTCTGTACTGCAACCCAAGTGACTTCTAGGTAACCTTTACCCAATCCCAGTGAAACAACTTCACTGCTCTTGTTTCTGGGTGACAATTGATTTTATGAGCTTGAGTGTGTATGCGCCCTTTTAAGTGGGAAATGAGGCCATGTGATGAGAGGTAGGGCACCGAAACATTGTAAGATACTATATTCAACATGACCGGTGGCCCATGTCTCTTCAAACCAGCCCATATCTCATGTTTATCAAGACCCTATTTTTCGGACTCATTTCAAGTTTTTGAATGGTTCCAGGGTCCAGGGCTCTCAGAATTTGTTTCAGACACTGCCAAAGAGTATATCATTCAGCTGTATTGAATCGCTTGTGTGTAGAAAAAATATTTTTTGCCATACCCAAAGTGAACCATGTTGAACCATTGTCTACATAGGAACCTTGAGCAATGGTGAACTCTTTTCATGTTTCGAATTTTAGGTGGACAAATGATATGAAGTATCTACATATTCAATAAGAATAGCAGAAGGAGACCTTATTCCGATGGTTTTCAGCTGCATAACTGTAGGAACAGTGTTAGAAGAGCAGTAAACACTTAGGTACGACGTTTATACAGGTTCTGATTGGCTGGTGACTTGACGTGTTCCGAGCTGTCAGTTTACATAATCTTACATATAAGAAAATCACGGGGACAAGGCACCGGTGCAGCGGGGGGTGCTAGACTGGCGGGGGTGCCAGCGGGGGTGCCAATGGGGGTACCAGCAGGGGTGCAGGCAGTGGGTCATGGCAAGGATGTGTGCAGCCCCAGAGGTAGTAAAAGTAACCATCTATGTCTCTACAGTCTATCTTGCAAATATACGAGCTCTGAGTGCACAGAGTGTTGTATATGAAATTTGAAATTCAAATATTACCAATCTCTGACTATTGTGAGGCAACTTGCTGGTGAATCCATTGTCTCATATTCCACCTAGGAATCAATTCAGGGCATGTCAAATCCACTCTATTACATCTGTTCATGTTGCAACTAAAGCAAACTGCTTGTAAAGTAACACAGAACAGATGAACTTCAATGAGTCCCAGACAGGAAGTGTGACATTAGGTGCATAATTAACGTGTGGTATTATCCACTGGGTAAGATTAGACTGTGCCTACAGCATGATCAGTTTACCAATGGGCATGTGTATAGAATGAGCAGACGAAACAATCAATGAGTTGACAGTGGACCCAATGCAGCCCATGATGTCAGCCCACCTACCCTGCCAGCCAAAAAATGAACAAATCACACTTTCTTTTTAACCCTACATGCCTGGATTATGCAGACAATATTGCACAGTTTTGATATCCCAGCCCCTGCCGAAGCATCAGGGAGTCACATGGCTGTAGCTGCAGACCAACCCCAGACACAGCCTCCAAACTCCTGGCAAAATGAAGGATAATTATGCTGCATGCTATGACCACAGCGAGAATAGATAGATCAAAATATGATGCAATGCACCCCTACCCCTGCTCCTGTGGTTGACCCCACAGCGGGCCCTGCGGCACCCCCTGCGGCACCCCCCGCAGCACCCCCCGCAGCACCCCCCGTGGCACCCCCCGCAGCAGACCCCGCCAAATGATGGGATCAAGTGCATCACCAGTCCCATTGTGCAGGGTGCATTTTGGGCTTTCTAAGCTCAAATTCATGCTTAACTAGTGTATTTACCGATAGAAATGATACCAGGATGATTTGGGGAAGGCTTCCATTTTTTTGGGCGGAAAATCACGTGATTATGCGCCCATTGTCTGCCACAGCATGCAATGGATCAAGCAACACCTCCGAAATCATGCCGAATGGTGCACAAAAGGTGCCCCAAAAGTCACGTGATAATGCGCCCACTGCCCGCCATGGTGTGCGGGGGGCCAGTAGCGCCCCCGCCAACCCCCGCCAACCCCTGCTAGCCATTTTTGATAATTTTCATGCAGTGCATCACGTGATTTTTTTACCCCGCCATCAGCCGCCATCCCGCCCATTGGATGTGTCATGTGATTCATTTTTTTTTCGCGCCCACCTGCCCGCTCCCAATGATAAATCACATGACATGTACAGACCCCCCCCCTGCTGACCCCCGCATATGCCCCCGCCCCCAAATGGACCAAATCCCCCCCGCGGGCCCCGCAGGGGGGTACCTGTTAGGTACCCTCAGAGCTACGTCTGAGGGTACCCAGGAGGACCCCCGCGGGGGTGCAACCGGGTGATGGCGGTGGTAACTGAGGTGCCCAGCAACCATGATCGTGCGCTTATCACCTTCATATTCCCAGGACCGTGTGCTGATTCAGTTTCCGATTTCAGGGAAATGGCACTGCACCCACACCGTTCCTAGAGACAGCCGGGCACTATGACCGGGTCCCGGTTCAGCAGACTATTCCTCATACAAAAAGGTGAGCAAAGAGGGACGGGCCGTTTCAGTAAACAGCCCCAGGGCCAGAAGCGTAGGTCGCAATGTATTTGGAGTTCTCAGGATTCGATGGAAGCGTGCCGTACCATTGCCACTGGCTGTTCTTTACTCTGTTAGAGAAACTCGTGACTGGCCACCCGGATGCCACGCCTTGGCTTCCTCGGCCGGGTGCATCCCGTGGCTCCAGCCATGTGCGATGAGCCTTGACTCCAGTTGACTCGAGCGCTTTTATCAAGCATAATTTCTGCGTGCGACCCTTGTCTTTTGACTCTGCCGGCCCCAAAGGTCGGGAGGTAATGATTCAGCATGAGCCCAGTTCAAACTTGCGCAACGTTCATTCATTTAGTATCTGAATTCCTGTGTCATCTTTTCTATCGCCTTGTCCTCCGAGGATCGAGCACCGCGGATTTCTCAAGTGTGACCACGCCCTCGATCCCAGGGTATATGAGGAGCACATGGTGCTCACCAGGTATATTCGGTATGTCTGTCCCAGTGGCGGCAACTCTCCCAACGAGGAGGCTGGTGTCTCACCATTGCATTCCGGGTGCCATGAGCATTGGCACTCGGTGGGAGATGTTTGGTAGCCTGAATGCGCGTGACAAACAAAATCTACTGAATTTCGCACCGCAGAACTTAGAGTCTTGTATCACGCGGCCTGAATCGCGCGCCGACGAATCACTGCTCTTTTCCAAGCCGAAAATTAGCCTTGATTCATACAGCCACAGCGAATGTGATGGTCTCGCTCCGGTTGTTGCAGTGTCAGGCTGTTCCCGAGGCTCGTGACCACCTGACCATTGCATTAGATGCTGTGAATGGCCGAAACCGCTGCAGCGAATCTTAGACTCGCGGGCCTTTCGAATGTCTTGTTCATCAACAAAGTGTCGTTTGTCACAGATTGGAATGCATCCGGGAAGCAGCGCAAACCATGCACTCCCATTCTTCTTTGGTAAGCAGCTACTGATAGTGGAGCTCGGCAGCAAGAAGACGCTGGAACTGTTGATTGTTTGGGTTGTCCAGTGGGCCAAGAGAATGTCTTACCCAAGTCGGATTTCTGTTCCTTATGATCACTGTGTCTTCGATTTCACTTCAATCTCTTTATTTTCAGACCGATTGCCACAGAAATACATTCCGGTTCGAATCGGGTTCGAACCGGCTCAGGGAGGGTTGAGGCAGGTTCAAGCTATCTGAGATAATAGAACTTGAGGTTTGTTGCGGTTCAGGACCGGTTCCCTAGATTCAACACCGAGCCAAAGCAACGCTTCTGGAGCAGCACTATAAGTAGTTGAACTGCTAGTAATCCTGCGAGAAACGGAGATAGCATGAGACTCAACTGAGATCATTTATTTGCAACTTGCAATCATCCGGTATGCAATGGGAATGGAATAGAGAGCATGCCGGAGCATACAACGGCTCAATCTTTCAACACATCTTCGAGTGACGCTCTCTCCATCTGCCGTCATTTTCTCGCAGAACTCGGTCCGGATGGGAGCATCTCGTTAGAGTGCCGGCGGCCGATACAGAGCGGGCGGCATTGGCATGATCCGGCGGTGGATGGAGCCGATGAGAGATCGTGGATGACTGGAACTCCACCAGTGAGAAACCTTCACATCAGCAGCTCTCACTTTACTCGTTTCCAGCCCTCATACTGCGGAAGTCACGACATCCGAGAGCGTTCAAGCCTGCGCAGACGCGAAGGTTTGATTGCACATTGGTTTCTGCGACCACCCGGAACACACCTTACAGTCGTGGACAATTTCCGATAAGGCCATGATTGAGCCATCTTTGAAGATGAGGGCATACATGGACCGTGAGTTTGATCGGGATAGCCAGGCTGCTGCGCGGGGGAGAATAGATGAGGCGAAACTTGAAGACGCTCAACGTTGCGCAGAGACTAAACGGTGAGTCTCGAAACGTCGGCAGTTGCCTTGTATCGGTTGAAACTGGGCTGAAGCCAGGTCAGAAACTGTGAACAGGAGAAACCCCAGTCAATTTTCGCCTGTATGCTTTGAAATGACGCGGAAAAGAAGGCTGTCCTTCATGCTGTGAGACGGGACGTTAGCGACCTATGGCGTGAACAGTCCTTACGATCCAGCTTCGTTTTTCGGGCCGCCACTGACACGGAGCCAAAATCTGGAGCCAAATGACCAACCGCTGCTGACGAACGCGGGTGAATCCTGCAAGTACATGATTTACTGCGGAAGCAGTGGACTTCGCGAAGCTCAAGCCGACAATACTTATATGGCAACGAGCAGCTGAGATCTTCACCATGTCTCTCCTCGATCGTCCTCCTGCGCCTCCTACCAAACTCGGTGTCTACCGAATTCTTTCGCCCAACGCGGGAGTCCATGTCTCTCCGCTGCAGCTTGGGGCGGGGAATATCGGCGACAAGTGGCACAACTTCGGGATGGGCGCCATGAACAAAGCAGACAGCTTCAAGCTGCTGGACGCGTATTTCGATGCGGGCGGCAATTTCATCGATACCGCCAGCGGATAGTAAGTGGGATGATATTTTTTCTGAGTTGGACATTGGCCGAATACCCTTCGCAGTCAGGACGAGACGTCTGAGATGTTCATCGGTGAGTGGATGGAAAAGCGGGGCATCCGGGACCAGATCGTCCTCTCGACCAAGGTGCGCTGTGCTGTGAATGCCGGTTTCTCGCATCAAATGAATTGTTTAGTTCACGATGAACTTCAAAGCGCGTCAGAATGTTCAGCACCAGGTCAACTATGCCGGCAACAATCGAAAGTCGATGACGCTCAGTGTCGAGGCTAGCCTCAAGAAACTCCGTACGTCATACATCGACGTCCTACACGTCCACTGGTGGGACTGGGAGACGAGCATCCGTGAATTGATGGACGGACTGCACAATCTCGTCGCGCTCGGCAAAGTCTTATACCTGGGCATATCGGACACCCCGGCATGGGTCGTGTCGCAGGCGAACCAGTATGCGCTCGACCATGGCAAGTCGCCGTTTGTAATCTACCAGGGTGCATGGAATCTCATGGACCGGTCGTTCGAGCGGGAGATCATCCCCATGGCCCGTGCACATGGTCAGTGGGCTTTTTTATGGCTGCTGTCCCGCGCGTTCTTCTGACTGTGGTCCAGGGATGGCGCTAGCGCCTTGGAATGTTCTGGCGCAGGGAAAGTTCCGAACGGATGCCGAAGAGGAAGCCCGGCGTGTGTCCGGGGAGAAAGGACGCATGCTGTACAGCACTGACTGGGAAAGAAACGAGGATGAGAAGAAGATCTCGTATGCACTCGAGAAGGTCGCGGGGGAGATCGGGGCCAAGAGCATCACCTCCAGTGCGTCTCACTTTCTCTGCGAATTTCACCCGTTCTGATGCAGAGTGCGCGAGCAGTCGCGATCGCATACCTGATGCACAAGGTGCCGTACTGCTTCCCCATTATTGGGGGGAGGAAAGTCGAGCATCTGGTGTCGAACATTGAGGCCCTCGAGGTCTCGCTCTCCGCAGAACAGATCGAGTTCCTAGAGAGTATACTGAAGTTTGACCCTGGCTTCCCGGCGACCATGATTGTATGCTTTATCTATTTTGTGTTCTCGGGGCCAGTTCTGATTCCCACCTGTTTTGCAGGGTGACGGAATTTCGCCTACCCCATTCTTGGAGACAGCTGCGCACTGCGACCGAGTGCCCGTCCAGCAGACCATCCCTCATACAAAGAAGTGAGCGGGGAAGTGACGCACAGGACGGGTAAAGGATGTCGTTTCGAGATAACTAGGCCTCGCTGTATGTATATGTAGTAACAAACGTTGATGCCCGAGTATATATATACAGAAAGTGTGTTACTGCGATTGTGCTGATGGTATCACGACCCGACCTGTGACAACACTAATGCACAACAGTGACAGTGTGGGGAATGCCTGCGGTGGTCCCAGTTAGACCTTAAGGAGTCCCATGTTGACCTGTGGTGGTCCCAGCGGGTCCTTCTTTGGTCCTAACAAGGTCCGAAATATAGTAAATTTGAGCGTCAAATTGGCGTTTTCCCCTTCACAAAATAGCATAGAAGTCGTCCGAAATGTCTGTTCAGGTCCGAAAATAGGGTAAAAGTTGGGCAGAAGCGACCAATCTGGGTAAAATTTGGGTGTCATCTTGACTCATCTTGGGTCATAAATGGTCAGATTCTTTGAAATCAAAGTTTGGAGCGATATCCGAAGCGAGCGTTCTAAGCCATCTAGATGTCGGGGGCAGGTGTCCAAGTCATAGCCATAGCTACCCATGGCGAAGGGAAAAAATGGATTTACGTTCCAAAAACAGAGTAAAAGTCACCCAAAATCGAAAAAATTATAGCGTAAAAGTAGTTTGGCTGACGGAGCTAGCTCACTGCAAGTTTCTGAGCACCTGTGGGACCCCTGCGGATCCCACTTGTCCCATGACCAACTCATGTAGCCCGGCAATCAGCAGACGTGCTCGTAATGCTTCTGCAGAGTCAGATTCGTTATGACAAGGCTAAGCGATCAAACAAAATGTTTGGGAGTCGCATTAGCTCATCGCAGGACGGAATGGCGCCATATTATAACACATTCCTAGCTGAAACTCTCACCATCCGGGTATATTTATTTTGGCGGAACTTGATCCGGACGGAAGCCACCTCGTTGGAATGGCAGTTAGTATGGAGGGACTTCGGCATGATTCGGCGGTTGATGATGACTGGAACTCCGCTTTTGTGGATTCCCCATATCGGCAGCTCTCACTTTGATTGTCCGAGGCCTCGTACTGCGGGAATTGCCTTGCGGACACGTTTTCAAAAAAGAAAACCAGGTTAGGCCATCTCTGAGGATGGGGGCAAAGGGGGAACATGGGTTTGACCGGTATGGCCAGGCTTCTGGGCGATGAAGAGCAGCTGAGGCAAAACTTGAAATCGATCATCGTCGTGCAGAGAATGAACGGCGAGTCCCGAAATTTCGGCAGTTCCTTTGCAAAGGTTTAGAGTGGGCTGAAGTCGGGTTGGAACATGGGAATAAGAGAAATCCCAGTGATCTTTCGGCTGCAGGCTATAAAATGGCTGAAAAAGGCTGTGTTGCACGGTCTGAGACGGGATGCGGGCGGCCTATGGCGTGAACCGTTTTTACGATGCAACTTCGTTTTGGGGATCCGAGCTTCGTTTATTCGGGCCGTCACGGACACGGAACCAAAGTCTGGAGCCAAACGACCAACCCTTGGCCGACGGACGCGGGTGAGTCCTGCAAGACACACGATGTGCTGAGGAAGTGGTAGAATTCGCGGAGCCCAAGCCGATAATAGTTATAAGAGGGAAATGAGTAGCTGAGATTTTTCAAGTTCACCATGTCTTTTCTCGATCGCCCTGCTGCGCCTCCCACCAAACTCGGTGTCTACCGAATTTTATCGCCAAACGCGGGGGTCCGTGTTTCTCCTCTGCAGCTGGGGGCAGGAAGCATCAGCGACCAGTGGCACAAGCTGGGAATGGGTGCGATGGACAAAACGGCCAGCTTCAAGCTTCTGGACGCGTATTTCGACGCTGGCGGCAATTTCATCGATACTGCCAATGCCTAGTAAGCCAAATACTACTTTTGAAGCTGGCGTTGATCAACCATGCTTCGCAGTCAGGATGAGACATCTGAGATGTTCATCGGCGAGTGGATGGAGCAGCGGGGCATCCGAGACCAGATCGTCCTCTCGACCGAGCCATAGCACTAGGATTTAGACTAGTGCGCATGGCTGTAGCCATAAAAACCGTAGACTATTTTATGGATGGTAGCCATGGCACGGGATCGAACTCGTGACCCTTCCAAAAAGCGGATGGGCTCCGCAGCAATAACCAATGAGCCATGACAGCGTATTAATTTAGAACATATTGTCAATCATACACCTGATAACACCTGCTAAAATATGTTTCCCCCACTTAGGGAAAGGAGCTTGCTCCTTTCCCTAAGTGGGGGAAACAACCCTAACCTCTAACCACCCTAAACCCCTACCAACCCTAACGCTCACCAACCCAAACCCTAGCCAGTAAAAAAAAACATGATTTTTGGGACCCGAAGCCCTATCCCAAACCCAAACACTATCCCAAACCCGAACCGATCATCAGCATGCGACAAGCTCAGGAGAGCATCCCACGTCCTGCCGCGACTCCGTCGTCGTCTGGAAAGGCCAAGGTATGATTCCCAGTCTCTGTCCAGATTTTCTTACGGATATTGTTGCACAGGCCGAAGACCCTGTTCCCGAGACTTCAGGCTCAACTCCTGCCATCGACATTGATTCAGACGTCGAGATGGAGGCCCCCACTCCCGTTCAAGAGAAGGTGCGTCCGTCTTGAGTCTTGCCGAGCACAGGTTGATTTTTCTCAGACCCCGCGACCATCTACTCGCAAGACCGTCGCAGGACGGTCTGGTTCTCGATCGGTCGACGGATCTGGTCATGACGACTCCGTAGGGCTCGCGGACGTCTATGGGACTATCATTCGACTCATAGACGAGCACGATAGGTCGATGCGTCTTCTCAGCGCCAAAATGTCGAAGCTTCACGCGGAGCAGATAGAGGCTCTAGGGAGCTGTCTCCAGAGTTTCCAGACGTGAGTTTCACTCAGTCGCGGCGACTACATTTCTGACCAATTACCCAGCCATCGTTCGTTGTCACCGGCTCGAAGAGGCAGCGACTCAGCAACAGTACCACTGATGCGGCCCCGAGTGAGTCTCGCAGTTTCACTTTCCTGTCGCGACACCTTGCTTAACGATTGGTAGCGTCCGCGTCCGACCGAAGGTTTATTGCGGACCGAGTACATTGACATCAATTGTACCAGTTGCGGCGGTCCATTCCACTCGAGCTCCTCATCGAGGAACGCGACTACGTCACGTCGCGGCTAGAGGAATGGAAGACCGCGCTCAAGGACGTCAAGGAAGCCATTGACCTCTCGATGTCGAAGAATGCGGCCTAATCTTTTCATATTTTGTTCTATATGCACTCTCCTTCCATATGTCTCTCTTCTCTCATGTCACTTATTTATGAAGTCGCGTCTTTTCTTCTCGCGCACCTCCTTATGACCTTTTTCTTTTAGATACAACCCAGTATAGTCCTTAGGTACCAGCTAGCACCCAAGCAATATACTGAATTCTGTCTAAAACTGAGAGAAGCGACGTCTTGTCGTGCGAGAGCCTGCCGCGACAATTGCTTGTTTGTCAGACTTTCACTCAACAGAAGCTGGATCCTCTACAGGGTCGTCGTCGTCGTCACTATCCGAGTTCTTGAGTTTCACACCTTCGAACTGGTAGTCGCGGACGTCAGATATTTCCTCCACCAACTCATCGAGTTTAGCAGGCGAAATATCTATCAGCTTCTTTATATCTTCAGAGAGTGTCAACTTCTGTCTTGCCAAATAGGGTATTACTCGGAACGCCGCGACTTTCGCATGGAACATCGCACCGTTCATTTCACAGACCAAGTAAGAACCTCCTTTGGTCTTTCGAACTATAATCATGGGCCCAAGATATCTAGCTTTCATCTTGTTGTCCAGTGATTTTTCAATAGCTGTGTTCCTGACCAACACTAAGTCCCCTGGTACAAAATTGTAATCTTTGATCACATGCTTGTACTCGAGTTCGTAGCGTTGAACCATCTTTAGTTTGGCGTCGCTGACGCGGCTGCGCATATCTTCAATATGGTCGGCGTGTTTCGCTAGAGCGCGTGCCCTGAGACCAATGAGATCCGCAGAGTCGACGATCCGGTCAGGATATTCGACTAGCCACGTAGCTTCGACTATATCCAGAGGGATGGTAGGGTGGGCCCCACATACTGCGAAGTACGGTGAGCAACCCAGCCCGCGACGCACTGTAATTCTATCTGCCCACAAGACCTGTGGGAAGAACCAAAACCATTTGGAGGCGTTTCCCCCTGTAGCTTTGTACAGTGACTGTCGAATGTCCCAATGTCCTCTTTCAACAGTGCCATTCGCTTGGGAATTGTAAGGAGATATCCTTATTCCCTTGATACCATATTTCTTCTGTAACCAGTTCAACGCCGCGACAAATTGTCCTGCGTTATCGGTTACAATCCACTTAGGACACCCCCAGCGACACACTATGTCTTCGAGTAAGAAACGTGCGATTGCCTTGGCATTGTCAGCCTGTAGCGGTCGCGCTTCCACGTAGCAGGTCAAAGAATCCCTTGCTGCGACGACATATCTGTATCCGTTGGAAGGCGTTCCCATAATCATGACATCTGTATGTATCTTCTGAAATACACTTGGAGTCATCGTCAGCGTCGGTGGAGTGCGGAGGAGAGTTTTCTGGCGGACTTGGCAGCTATGACAAGTCTTTATCCACCAGTCGACGTCTCTTTCCATTTCTGGCCACCAAAACCGAGTTTCCAACAGGCTCTTAGTGCTGAAAAGACCCTTATGACCCAGCGCGTCGTGACACGCCTTCATCATATAAGTCCTGTGGCACTTGTCCACGACCAGTCTATGAATCCCATTGGTCGATCTCTTGTACATTTTTCCATCTTTGAGGAAAAACTGTCGCGAGAATTTGAGAAACGATCTGAACCGTTTGTCTGTCATTTCAGGCCTTACAGAAGTGTCTTTCAGCCACTTCCTAGCCATTACCAACTTATTGTCCTGTTCGATCCCTGTGCCAGTCCAGTGATCCTCAATATAGGGATCCTCAGGATTGTCGCGCAGTTCAAGATCAGGTAAAAGCAGTTCTCCGTTTGCCACATCGTTCAACATGAAGACTGGGACGACGAGCCCTTGAGCGTCATATGCGTCTTTGACACGCCGATTCTCAGCGCGACAAGAGTCGCAAGCTTTGACTAGCTCTTTGGATATGTCGTCGACCGACTCAGCACACCCGACCATAGAGTTAAGGTAGCCACCTCTGGTGTCAATGTCCCTTTTGAACTCTTCAAAGTCTAATGGTTGTTCTGTGTCGTAGTCCCAATTCTCGTTGTTCTCTGGTGGTGGCTCGTCGAAGATTTCCTCTTCGTCATTGGGATACTCTTCATCTCCAGGTGCAGGTCGTCGTCGCGACAAGCCATCTGGTGAGAAGGTGATTCCTCTGACATGTTTCAAGGTAAACTGAAACATGAGGATCTCCTCAGCCCAACGGTTGATATTTGCATTTGGTAGGTTACCAACGTTCCTTAGCATGCCTGCCAAGTACAGCGCGTCGGTTTCGACTACCAATTTCCTACAACCAAGAAGCCAGTGAGCCATGGCTTGAAGCACGCGCTTCACACCATAAAGTTCACGCTTCGGTTGAGAAAACCTAGCTTCTCTTTCTGTAAGTGGGATACTCCCAAATTTCGCGTAATAGACCTTCTTTGGATCATCTGGGTCGCGCTGGTAAATTTCGAAACCCGCGGCCATCCAGGATGTGTCTATTGCGACGACAATCTCAGAGTCCCACTCGTAGTTCAGAGGCTTAAGCGACGGACAGACTTGTATCGCGTCTTTAAGTCTTTGAAATGCGAGTTTCTGTTTGTCACCCCATTCAAAATGCGCGTTCTTGTTCACTAGTCTCTGAATCGGTCGCGCCATTTCAGAAAATCCTCTAATGAACATCCGCATGACCCCAATCGTGCCCATGAATTGTCGAACTTCCGAGACGTCTCTCAAATCTGGCCACCGCGTGATTACACCAACTCTGTCCGCGTCAGGTTTTCTACCTTCAAACGAACAGATGTGGCCAACCACAGCGAACTTGTCGGCGCAAACCACCGACTTGGTACCAGACAGAGTCGCGCCACAGTAGCCGATTCTGTGTACGACGCGGTTCACATTCTGAAAGTGCTCCCATACGAAGCGACGGATCCCAGGATTTTCTGGAATTGTTTCACAGGTTCCATCGGGTAACAGATACCTGGTTCCAGGTCCTCGAACGGGTACGTCGTCGATGTATGGAATAGTAACATGAGGGATTTCGTCTTTCAAAATGAAAGTAACGTCCTCATGGAATATGGGTACTGAGTTGGTCCATCCTTGTGGGAGTTTGACCAACCTCAGTGCACCGAACGGTGACTGGAATGTAGTCAAGTCGCGACTAGCTGGATCGATGTCACGCTGGTCGTAGCCTGAGTACAAATCTAGCGCAGCACCACAGGCGCGACCGGCGAAGTGGTTTGCTAACTCCTCTGTCGCGGGTGGCAACCCTGAATGTGCGATAGTAATTGCATTGAGTGGTTCTAGCGAGTGCACCAGTCTGATACTCTTCCCATACTTCTTAAGTACAGCAAAGAACTTGCTTCGATAAGAGGAATTGGAAGGTTCATAGACCTGGGCCGCGATTTTGTCTTTTATGACCTTGCACACTTGGTCGAACATGCCGCGAGGTATAGGAATATTCCCTTCGCGATATGCTGTATGGGGAACTGTCGCGATCTTGACAGGAGGAAATATGTCCTGTCTCAATGCGCCACGCTCTTCATCATTGAACGCGAAACTTTGATTGTGAAGCATATAGAAGTGCATGAGCAACTTCCGTTCTTCTGGTAATAAGAAGTCCCCTTTGTGTAACTTGTCCACAATATCCCTGCGTTCCGCCGTGAATCTACCAGTTGGGGTAAAATCAGGTGGTCGCGGGTTTAGAGTAGGTAGCGTATCCAAGGGATCTCCCACCATTTCTCGAATTATTCGGTCGCTCTCAGAACCCATCGTGTACACTGGTCTGACCTTCTGGTCCACAGGTTTGTATTTCTTTCCTGCGAACACAGAGTATTTGTCGCGACTAGAAGAGTCGTCGTCTAGTACACTCCAAGTACCAACAGTCAGTTTTTCCGTTGCCGCGTCTGAGAGTCTTTCATTCATATATGAATGAAACAAAGTCGAC